TGGCCAGTTTCGTTGAGTCTAGGCTTCAATGACATTCTGCAATGCATTTCGACGGCGGCCATTCGTGAGGGAGAAAGACACACGCCGGGACTCCGGTCGCAGGGGGGGGGGGGGAGGGAAACAGCGGCGGCTGTGGCGGAGACAGCGGCAGCGGCGGTGGCGAGGGCCTAACCTGAGGGGGAGGGGGTGGGGGAGGGGATGAGGACGGTGAGGGCGGCTGGGGCAGCCGGGAAGGCAGCACAGGGAGGCGCGGCGCACCTCAAACTCGAGCGAGTAGCGGGAATATCACCCGCTGCTCCGGCGGGATAGTGCTCCCCCGCCGCCCCCTGGGTCACCCCGAGTGACCTCGCAGCCCACGCCGTGAGGCGCTGCTGTCAGAGGGGTTTATCACCGCCGTATCCACCCCACACTGGCCGCCGAGGGGCCCGGCGGGCTGAGGCGCGCGAGGCGGCTTTCGCTCCCGCGGGGCGGCTCTACCCGTCTCAGCACGGCGTCCCGAGGTGTAGCCGTGTACCTGGCGGCAGGGCCATCACTCACGCGCCTACTCGCGGCACGAGGGAAGGCGTGACGCGACCGCGAGAGGCGAGATGGCTGATGGCGAGACAGTCGTTTGGCCCGTTTGAGGCTGAAAGGATGACCGCGGACGATGAGGGCGACGATTCATCGCGGCTACTGAGCAGGCAAGGTCCGGACCTACAGGATGGAGGGGCGAGTAGTGAGACTCGGGACCATATCTTCGCGTCGAGAGACGAAAATCCGGATTCTTGGCCGCCGGCCGCCGCCGGCCGCCGAGCGGACACTAGGGAACTGCGCGACGACGACGACATTACTGAGGTGCTGCTTTCACCACCGCCCTTCTGGTGGTGTTTGCCGGTCGGGGGGGCGTCGGCAGCGCCGCCGATCCGCGCGGATGTTGCAAACGGTGGCTCGGGGCACCTATTTCGGCAGCCCCGGGGCGGGAGCCGAGGAGGGGCAGCCGTTGCGGTTGCGCCATCGCAGCTCGGCGGCGCGTGGGGAGCCGAGCGGCTTCCAGCGATCCCGCGAGACAGCGGCCCGCATCCGTCCCGGATGCCGCGCCCACGCTGCCCGACGCAAGCGCCAGATGGGAGAGGAGGTTGGCAGCCTTTCTGCGCTTCGAGGTGCAAGAGAACTCTTGCGTTATTTAGCGGGAGGAAGCCAGGTGGGGTTTAGCCCAATGTGTTGGCGGGCACGCCATGCCGATATGGGTACGATCCCAGGACGGGCGAAGATCATCAAGCGAAATTCATTGGAATATATGCGTGCTCAGTTTCTAAATTTTGGAAGGATGCGCTTGGCCTAGAAGCTGAGTGGGCTGGCTCACGTGGGTGCCCCGCTACTCCGGACGAGGGCGGCGAACCAGGCCGGGACTGCTCCGACTATCAAGGCCATATGGCCAGCGGACCTGACGCTTGTCCATGCGAAACCAACCCCTCGCCCGAAGACTGCATGAGGCTCGCTGAATGTGTCAACAGCTTTTACGGGCCGGGGGGCCCATCATTGGCTTTAGGCACAACATGGCGAACGACGTTAATCAAAATATCGGGTCATGCTGTCTACTTACTTGTGGTTCCCCGGACTACCACGGGGGGATTACATCTTGGAAGACTTTCTACATGGACCCGCCCCCGGAGGGTTACGGATAACCACCGGCCGCAGGACAATGCCCGAACAATCTCCATCAGGCGAACGTGGAACGAATACATCAGCCTGTGAGCTGTGTTACAGTGAGCCGAGAGTGTTAGTGCCTGTGCGCTCCATTTTGATGATTTACTACAGGCTGAGACAGTGTACAGGTCCGGGCTTCGGTTTCGCAACAGCTTCGTTTTCACAACACGGCCGCCTCGAGACGCCGCGCCGTCGTGCAATTCGTGCCCGAGCCGTCCACAAGGCCGCCGGCACATTTGCCAATGTGCCCGGAGCGCAGGGAGTCGATGGGTGCCGCAGTGCGAGCGAGCACTGCAGCTGCAGTGCTCGCTCGCACTGACGGCGCTGCGCCACGGCGGCGAAGCATGTCTGGACTTCAAGGACAGCGCTTCTCCGCTGCTCGAGGCTTGCGGCACGGTCCAGGCCGACCACACAGAGCACCCGAGGCAGCTGGCGTGGCCTCACTCATGACCTGTGCTACCCGTCGGCGGGGCCAGCTGCGGTTTCACAACGCGCCTCATTTTTGGCGCCCTCCTGCTAGCCGCGCATGAGTAGGGAGACCGTGTGTGGTGTCTTCGCGGCCTAGATCACCCTCTTGGCAGTCTATATTCCGGATTTTAGCCCTCCTGTCGCATCTGGTGAGCCGTACCATAGCGAGGACCAAACGTGTTGTGAAACCAAAGCACGGACCTGTAGTCTCAGCCCGCCGATTGCTCGCCCGTCCTTTTACCTCCTCGTGATCCCCCGCCGCCACCCTCGCCTCGTCGCCCTCCCACCGCCTCGCCGCTCGCCCGCCGATTGCTCGCCCGTCCTTTTACCTCCTCGTGATCCCCCTCCGCCACCCTCGCCTCGTCGCCCTCGCGCCGCCTCGCCGCTCGCCCGCCGATTGCTCGCCCGTCCTTCTACCTCCTCGTGATCTCCCGCCGCCACCCTCGCCTCGTCGCCCTCCCGCCGCCTCGCCGCTCGCTTGCCCGCCCGCCCATCCTTCTACTCCCTCGTGATCCCCCGCCGCCACCCTCGCCTCGTCGCCCTCCCGCCGCCTCGCCGCTCGCCCGCCGATTGCTCGCCCGTCCTTCTACCTCCTCGTGATCCCCCGCCGCCACCCTCGCCTCGCCGCCCTCCCGCCGCCTCGCCCCTCGCCCGCCGCTAGCTCGCCTGCACGCCCGACCTTCTAGTTCCTCGTGTTCCACCCGCCGCCCGCCTCGCCAACTCCGTTTGTGCCAGCTCCCGCTTCCCGCCAGCCCGCCCGCCACCACCTCCCCGCGCCGCGCCGCTCCATCCTGCCGTTACCGCGCCGCCCTCGCTCCTTCCTGCTGCCGCCCCCCCCTCAGCCGTTTGACCCGCCGCCTAACGCCTCGCCGTTCGCTGCCGTAGTCCGCCGTCGTGCCGCCATTCCTTACCGTGCCGCTCCTTCTGTGCCGTACCGCCCCTGCCGTTTAGCCCGCCGTCCCTCCTGCCGTCCATTGCCGCCGTGCCGCCATTCCGCCGCTACTGTGCCGCCTTCCTCGCGCACACACACCTTACCTCCTGCTCGACTGAGTTTGCGCTGAGAAGTGACCCGAGCCGCCGGGTGCCCCGCAGCGGCCTCGCTGGGCCAGAACACCCGGTCCGCGAGTGCTCCGCAGCAACCTCGCTGAGCCAGAACGTCGGCTCGCGAGGTGGGGTGCTAGTATGAGACCGATACGTCGTAGAGTTCTTGCGCTTCGGCGGTTAGTGGTGCACTAACCTCCGAGAAACCCTTCGGGTCGCTCCTCATCGCAAACCCTGTCAGCAGAGTCCTCCTGCGGGAATGTACGTAAGAGCTACATACACTGACAAAAAGGAAAACATCGTGCGCACACGAGGAACGTCGCAAGGCGCTAGCTACGATGCTCGTGGACCTAGATGCCGCCTTCCTAGATAACGAGGTCTCGCTGTTGGAAGTGATCGTGAAGGTGCTGGTCGAGTCTGACCTCGCTTCCGCGGTCGCCCTCAAACGATGCAACAGCCGCTTCAAGGACCTCGCCACCCCGCTGGTGGCAGACGCCGTGGAAAGGACGGGCAAGAAGTGGCGGGATGCGGCAGCCAAAATCGTCAACAGAAGCGCTGCAAAGATCATAGGTGGGCTCGAGCGCAACGAGGTGCTGACCTCCTTGGATCACATCAACACCGCGATCCGCGCCAACGCCGCCGGCATCGGCTTTGCTATCCCCATCGACACCGCCGAGAAGGCGACGGGGACGGATCTCGGCCGATCTCGGGAAGGGCGGCTCATCTCGGCGGATCTCGGCGGATCTCGGCGGATCTCGGGCTGTCAGGCGATGAAGACGCTCTCGGCGGGCGGGAAGATCTCGCACGCGTACCTCGGCATCTCGATGCTGTCTCTCACGCCGGAGGCGGCTCGGCTCAACAACGCCGACCCAAACTCGAACGTGTATCTGCCCGAGCAACACGGCGCCGACCCCGCCCTCCTCCGCGCTCTGGGGCCCTTCTAGCACCCTCCGAGGGAGCGTCCCTGACCACACCTTCAGGCGCCCTCGTCCTCGCCGTCGGGCCAGACACACCCGCCGCGAAGGCGGGATTCCGAAAGTTCGACCTCATCGTCGAGCTCGCCGGCGAGGGATGGCCGAGTAGGGTTCCCTCGTTTTTATGGGCTTCCCCCGCGTTGGCCCTCACCCCCTTCCTCCACATTCGCTCGTTCGCTTCTGCCTCTGCTGGACTGATACAGCCGAGTGATCGGCGAGCGACCGCCGAGGCGTGCGCAAGTTCGAGCCCCCCCCTCGCAGGCACGCCAATCTCGTCGGCCGCGGACGCCCAGCGGCTCGTCGACGAGACGAGGGTGGGGCAGCCGCTGCAGGCGCGTCACGACGGAGGGGATGAGTTCGCCTGTGATGGGGAAGACCGCGCACCGCTCGCCCACGCGCGCCGGGTCGATTACGTCGAGTGCCGTGGGGGCGTCTGTCTGTCTAGACGTGGAGTCGCGAGGGCCGCCTGGTCCTTGCCCCCCACCACCCTCGTGGGGTGGAGACGGCTCCCTGACCGCACCTCTCCTC